GGGGGGGGGGAAGCTGGGAAGCAAGTGAGGCTCACAGAGATCACCGACTGCCTCCTGAGACAAGCCAGCCACGGGCGCCGGGCTCCTGGCGCTGGCCACGTTTACAGGCGCGTCCACAGCGGCTTTTACTCCTGGGCATTGACTTAGTGTTTCCACAGAGGACATCTCAGATCTAGGCCAGAGAATGCTCCCTTCCAGGCGGAAGCCAGCAGCCTCCACAGCCTCCCAGTGCGGTGGCTGCCCCTCAGACTCTGGAATTCAGCTCCTGGGTCAACACCATTCCCCAACTGGCTTCCTCTTGGTGTATTTCCTGATGTTATGGGTGGAGAGGGGTGGATGGAATGAGGGAAAGGAAGGATGCTTTTTTAAATTTCTCCTCCAAAACCTTTCAGGATAGGTTAGAAATAGTGACCAAAAACATTTCCCTCCCACTCCCCACCCCTTTAGTTATTTCAAATAAACACAGGCCAGGCAGTTTGTCTGGCACCAGGTCAAAAATGCCCTCGGGTCAAAAAGCAGGGTTCCAGTTAGGCACCAGGGCACATGCCTGCAGTTCCAGCACCTGAGTCAGGAGTTCGAGACCAATCTAGGAAACATAGTGAGAGCCTATTTAAAAAAAAAAAAAAAAAAAAAAAGCTTAGGATTCATTTAATACTTGGATATAAACCAATAAGCTAGAGTGCTTTAAAAAAAAAAAAAGAGAATTTTAATATTTATTTTTTAGTTCTCTGGCGAGTCTCTGGATTCAATACAGCAAAACAAACAAAAACAAAAATCTATTTTTTAGTTCTCGGCGGACACAACATCTTTGTATGTGGTGCTGAGGCTCGTCCCCAGCCCCAAGTGCTTCTTTTTTTAACTTTTTTTGTGGTGATCAAACCCAGTGCCTCACACATGCCAGGCAAGCGCTCTGTCAGTGTACACACCCAGCTCCAAGATTCTTTTTTTTGTTGTTCAGTACCAGGACATTGAACCCAGGGGCATTCTACTACTGAGGTACCCCCCAACCCTTTTTCCTTTTTGCCCAGGCTGGCCTAGACTGCAGTCCGGCCTCAGCCTTCCAAGTTGCTGGAGGGCATGACCCCCATGCCAGGCTCAGTGTGTGTTTTGTTTTAATACAGAAGACACAGGGACAATCTAGGGTTCCTCATGTGCTCCAGCTATGACAGGAGGATCCCCAGCAATTAGGAGAGCTTATGCCTGTGGTGCACACAGTTTTGGAGGACATGCATGTCCTGTTTGTGCTGGTTAATGGACAGCCCAACACTGTAGTAAAGAATGGATTTGGGGTAGGGTGCTGGCTTTTGAACACCGTGGGCCTTGTAGCCTGAGTGTCTGGGCCTTATTTTAGTCACCCTTTCCCATTGCTTTTAAAGTGTATTTTTAAGAGATCTGACAAACTACATTCTACTGACTTTCAAAGGAATAAGAATGAAAGAAAACAAAGATAAAACAACGCAAAACACAAATCCAAATCCAGTTGCTTTATTTAAAATGATGAACAAATTTCATCCCAGTGAAAATTAAAAATACCAATCCAATGGCAGACCCTTGGGCATTCCATGGCAGGCCCACAGTGAGAGGGAGCAGAACCAGGGGTGGCTCAGGGTTCTGGAGGCAGCCCAGTTCTTCTGTGGTTTCCTGTCACCCGAAGGCCAGGGCCAGTTCTCCACCAGGGAGATTTGCAGGGGCTAGGATTCAAGGGTTTGAACTTACAGGGAGACAAAGTTGAGAGCCACCACCTAGGGGCCCATTTCATCTAGTTTTGCTGAAAACAATGTAACATGATGTAACATCTTCACAAAAGACAGGAAGGGATGGGCAGGAGGAGCCAGAGCATTACACATCAAAACCACTTCTCTGGGAAAGCTACACACAGCCTGAAGAACCCACAGCCACACGCACCTGTTACTTGCCACACAGTACTTTTTACCACAGTGCAAGGTTCTGTTCCATCCCACACTCTGGTCCAAAGTCCTTGGCTCAAGGCCGAGACTAAGTTTATAAAGCACTTGCACCAGCACCTTCCCCTGCCCACCCTTAGAGACCTTAAGCCACTCCACAGAGAAGCCGTGGGCGGACTCAGGTGCCGGCATAACGCTAGCTAGCTGAGGTCCCTCACAAAGAGCTAACGAACCTGCATTCAGCGAGGCAGACACTTGCTTTTCTAGTTGTGTTAATGAGACAGGCTGGTGCTAATGAGACCCGCTGGGTCTCCCTGCCCTGACCAGCCACCCTGGTGAACACACAGTCACTGTCCACTAAGGTCAGGGGCCCAGGCTTGTCCCAGCACCAGATCTGCTGAGCATTTGAATTACTGAAGAAGTGGGCAGCCACGTAGAACGAGATGTGAACAGTGCCCCAGCTTCAGCAGCCCTCCCTTCAAGGGCAGCCATGAACATCCCAGGACCACTCTGGGGACCTGCGCAGCACTGGATTCTCCCGGACCCAAGGCCCTCGAGGTGTCTGTGCCTCTACTCCTGTTGCTCCTACCCATCTCCTCCCTATCAGGTGGTCACTGGTGTGAAATTCCTTCTCCCAGGACCCACTGTCTTGGAGAACAACCCCTGGAAATGGCCACGGGATGCAGCCATCTTCTCCTTCCTTCCTGCTGACACCATTCAAGGACTAGGGAATACTGACAGGTGAGCCCTCCCTCACCTGCTCACCACTCCACAGGGTTCTCCTCCTGGCTCCTGCTCTGCTACCACAACAGAGCGCCTGGCTGGCTACAACCAATAAAACACGCTCTGCAGCTCTCCGTGGGCTGGCGAGAGTCGAACAGCAGCACATAATCTGTACCACCCAAACACTTTCAGGAGAGGTGACGGTGGCCAGGTCCCTCATTCCTGGTGGTGTTTAGTAACCAGGAGTCAACTTTGGTATCTGGAGAAATAGGTGAGTACATGATCTTTCCCTTTCCAATTCCTGCCCCATTTCCCAGGCCACTGGCAACGTGTCCCTCCATGCTGCTGGTGGCAAAGGGCCCCCTTTGGGTGTTTTTTGTTTTAAACTGAAGTTTAAAGGGGAGCACTTGATACAGGACAAGCAGAAAGCCCAGTAGCAATGCTGGGGAAAAGAAAAAGCTTTTGGAAGATGATAAGACTATTAAAAATAAATAAATAAAAAAGCAGGAGGAGGAACACCATTCAGATATTTCTACGGGGATTACGGGATTACCCGTGCAGGGTTGACCCACGCCTGAATATGTCCTGCCCACTGTGGGAGAACAGGGAGCTGCTGCTGGAAGGGAAGCCAGGAGACACCTGCAGCCACCGTGTTGCCCCAGAGGAAGAGAAAGGCTCTCCCACCAGCCCAGGGTGAACTTGCATTGGCATTTCAAGATGCAGAAACCTGGTACCAAGAGAAACCAGAGGACCAGCGTCCTAGGTAAAGCCACAGGACATAGAGGCAGGAAATGACAGCCATATGCTAAGAGTGTACTGTCTGGGTCCTCTGATCATTCCTGTTTTAGGGGATTCTGAGAGGCAGCACCACACCATTCCAACATTTCTGCCTGGGCGCCTCTCACCCAAACTCCAGCAAAACAGTGTGGTGCCTCTGACTGTGTGACTGGGCAAGGCCTTGAAAACCCCTGCTATTCTGATTTAAATTCACTTGGCTTCAGGAACAGATTAAGGCAAGCAGGTGAATCTAGAGGGCAAGAAGGGAAACCTGCTGGTTGATCCCAAATACTCCACCAGAGCTATTCAGAAGTATCCACAGATCCCAAAGACTAGAAGCACCATTTCCAAAATTTCTTTCCTGAATGTAACATAAATTGCCCACTTGATGTCTGCAGGTCAAATAAAGGGGACACCAGACATGAAGACCCTTACAGAGTGGGAGCTTCTTGCTCGTGGGTCACACTAGGGGAAGAATGGAACCCATGGATTAGAACCTGGCCTATTTATAATTCAAGTTCTAAGACAAAAACACAATCAACACCTTTCCCAGTCTGCACAAACAGAAGACATGAATGTGCCCACCCCTGCAACACACCGTACAAAAATGCCTGAACTTGAGAGCCTTCTGGAGAAAGATGAGGAATCCTACAGCAGGACTGAGCAGGGGCGGCGGTGTTGGGCACGTGGCTGGGTCACTGCCCCTGAAGGTCTCTGGACCAGTGGTGACATCCAGGAAGACAGCACACACTCAACAGTACTTTTTACACACGACAGGTTCACACACAGGTGGGTCAACATCCACTTGCCACTCTTAGTGTCTCTGCTTGTACAAAGGCAGCAGTTCCTTACCAACAGCAGTGAGGTGACAGACACAGTAAGACGCTGAGTGAACCGCACCCCTCTGGCCTGTGGCGATCGTGGTTCTGATCAGGACAACCCAGGAATTCTTCCCAACAGCACGGCAGCTCCAGCGTGTCACGGAGCTGGCAGAGCTTTCTGACTTCTTGACAATCTAGTCTTGAGAAGCAGTAAAACCAGCATTCGGCTGAAGACAGGAGCTCAGACCAGAGAAGGAAGATCCAAATTCAAAGAAGACAGAGGAGAAGGTAGGAGCAGAAGACGTGAGAACTGAGCGGGGTGGCAGCCACCAGTGTACACAGGAGCCACCTCAAGGAGCGTGTCTCTATCTGCTCAGGGATGAGCCCGGCCTCCACAAGTGTCCCTAATCCTGCCAAGGGAAGCACAACTGCCTGTAATCAGCATGTGGAGAGAGAGCACAGCTGGGCACAAAGCTGGTGAGAAGGTTAGCAGAAGAACCCCCAAGGACCTGTGTTGAAGCAATGGTAGGGCTTTCTCTAAAAATCTTTCTGTTCTGGTAATTCTAGCGACTGAGCTACATTCCCAGTCCTTTCTTATTTTGAGGCAGGGTCTTGCAAAGTTGCCTGGGCTGGCCTTAAACTTGTGATCTTCCTGCCTCAGCCTCCTGAGTTGCTGAGATTACAGGTGTGCAGGACAGCACACAGCCTCTAAAAACCCTCCCAACAATCACAAAGGCACATACTAAGCACGGATCTAACAGATATAACAAAAGAAACAGCTTAGGAAGGCAAGAGAAGAGACCTTAAGTGTGGCTGTGAAAGGGACAGCAGGGCCAAGAATCTCATTCCAGCCTGGTTAACCCACTTGAGTAAGAATTACAGCCGGACCAGGGAACCCAGAGAAGACAACAGAAAGGGAACGTGGGCCCCAAGTTTCATGAAGCTAACCTGCTCAGAGATAAAAGGTAACATGATGTCACCTGTACCGGTTAGGACATAAGACCCAGAGTCTTAAAAACGTTAGCATTTTATCACCTTCCCACAACCTCCCCGTTTAACACCCCGACCAGCACCTTGAAACAGGAACTCAGATTTAAAGACCTCGGACCCGCAAACTGAACACCCTCTGCTGTGGGCAAAAGGAATAAGGGCAGGTGTTGGCAAACACATTGTTACTAATTCTGAAGTTTTAGATCCAATCTTGTTTCAAAAGAAAATATAAACTTGGAAATGGGATTAAGATGTTACAGAAAACTTGAGCAATTTGCTGCTGTCCAACTTGGCCCGAGGACTCAAAGCAGCCACAGCAAACTGGGAGGAGAGGTAGGCGGCTCTGCCTCAGGGTCCCCATTCACTGCTCCAGCTGTCACCTCACCACCAGGACCCACCAGCAGGGAAAGCAATTTCCATACAGACCACTAGGAGAGAGGAACATGGCGGTCTGGTACTCCCAAAGGAAAAATGTCAGGTGTAAAATGGACTCATCTTTATTAAATAGTATAAAGGATCTCCTTGGCACCACTCACACTCTTGCCGTTTTTATGATAAAACAAGCCTCCTCAACTTGCATAGGTAGCAGAGAAAAAGCTACTGCAGCCAACGCTGAGTGAGCGGTCCCATTCCAAGAGTGTCCTCCTCCTCTGGCATGCGTCAGCCCTCTCCTGGTCTGTAGGATCCCAACAGGCTGCCCTCCCTGGGCCCTGCCCTCGCCGTGAGCACGTCCCTGCACACAACAGCCGTGCTTGTCACCTGGAAGAGCTGCGCTCCTTGCTCACGCAGTCGTCCTGTGAGGTGGTGTCCCCGTTTCCCACCATGTTGCACGTCCTCCTCTTCTTCCTGCGGTGCACTGTCCCCTCACCTTCAGACCCAGACTCACACTGCACACAGGAAAGAAAAGCAAGGGTTCAGCCTGGGTGCACCCCACTTAACCAACAAATCTTGAACCACAAAAGAGCACAGATCCTGTCCCCTTTCTCCAAGAAGCAAAGTAGCCATCGATGGCGGCTCTGCCAGTCTAGCATCAACCTCTGTGGATGCTTCTGGCTCCCTATGAATCACAGATTCACTAAGGTGCCAAAGTTCCCCTGCTCCACTGGCCTCTCACCAAAGGTTTATGGGTTGAAATCAAGCTGGCATTCTGAAATTGCATTACAGAATTTCACTCCTCCAACAAAGAGCTCAATGTGTAAAAGAACACAAGTACAATGACATTAAGAAACAAATTTTAGCTGGGTACAGTGGCGCATACTTGTAATCCCAGCAGCTTAGGAGGCTGAGGCAGGAGGATCGAGAGTTCAAAGCCAGCCTCAGCAAAAGCGAGGTACTAAGCAACTCAATGAGACCCTGTCTCTAAATAAAAAATACAAAATAGAGCTGGGGATATAGTCCAGTGGTTGAGTGCCCCTGAGTTCAATCCCTGGTACCAAAAAAAGACACAAATTTCCTATGTGAAAGGTGTATCCCTTACCCAATATCACTCTTACCTTAAAGCAGTCCTTTGGGTCTGCTGAGTTTCTAGGTTTACAATTTACCACCTCAAGGGCTTTGATGTGATGTGAGTTTGAATTCTGACACTGTTTGCCCAGCTGTGTGATTTTGGGTTATCTACTGATTCCCCAAACACCCAAATGTTCATGTACACATAGAAAGCTATGGCATGGGCAGAGTCCAGGGCTAGGCAGGAATGGTCGCACTTGTGGTGCTTGAAAGAACGAGAACAGTATTCACAGCCTCTTTCTCCTGCACTGGTCTGCAGGGTACCCTGAGCTCAAGGGCCCAGTGCAGGCAAGCTGGGCCTTACCTCTGAGTCTGAGTCAGAGGAGCTGGAGCTGGAGGAGCTGGAAGAGTCGCTGGAGCTGTCGGAAGCGATGCCTGTGGACTCCTGGAGGTCAACCGCATCTGCCAGGACTGCCAGCTCAGGGTGCTCCTGCTTCAAGATCCTGAGAGGCAAGAGACACCCTTCTCAGTGCTGTCACAGGTGGCAACACCCACACACAGTAACTCCAAGTGGAGTCTTGCATCACTTAGAAATACCTAGAAACACCCAGGGATTGGCAGACGGCTGCTGTACAACGGCAAGGAAGCACAGCCCCGGCAGGGCGCAGACCCTCATAGACTACCCACATTTTTCTAAAAGAAAATGACATTCTAGTGCCACGCGATCCATCACTACCCACAGGATGAGGCAGCTGGGCCACCACAGTAGGGGTAGCACCCCCCAAGCTTGCCTTGGTTCTTCCCTTGGGAGAAACAGCTCCTCTTCTACTTTTATATTTTCCTGAAACTTTCTTAGCTAGTTCTTAGTTTTTAGACCTCTCCTTTCCTTAGCACAGCCCTAATGAGTCGGGTTTGGTTAGACTCTACTAGTCAGAGCAGAAACAATTAGGATTGTAAGAAATTAGGTGTCAAACAAGAGAGACCACCCCCCGCACTTGAAAGATGAGCTGAACGGGCATCAAGAGCAGCCGCCCGCCACAAAAGACCTGCTGTACATAAGGCCTTGGAGTGACAGGGCCACAGCACTCTGTGGCCTGCAGGGCAGAGGAGGTGGGCCTCAAGTGCTGAGTCGGGGGAACAGAAGCCACCACCCTTGCTGGCCCTCTCAGCAGGGAGGAGCACTGAACGAGCCAGAATCCCTCTCTTACCCCGAGAGCTGGTCCCTCCAGGTCAGGGTTGGGACACAGTGGCACGGGGTGGCTGGGGGTGGCTTGCACTGCCGCTGCCCGTGCTGTATCTGTTCTGTGGATAAACAGAGGAGCTAAGTCTCCAGGGCAGTCACCTCACTCATAAGAACTGAAGGCAGTAAGTTCAAATGGGAATAATATGTCTGGGTAAGAAAAAGAAATAACCAAAATAAAACCTAAACAAAAGGGCTTCTTTTGCTAGTGCTAGCCTTGAAAACCAAACAAAAACAAAAACAAAAAAACAAAGCAAAACAAGAAACGATCCCAGTCGAGAGCATGTTTTGACGGAGTGGCTTTGATAGAACATGCAGAGCCTCACCCTGCCACCTGGAGGCTGGCAAGCGTCCTGAGCACCAGCCCTGACCTTGGTCCCTCTCTCGGCTCCCTGTCAGGTGTGCAGCCCCAGCTCTGCCCGGGCCTCTCTAAAGTCACCACATGGTACTGCAGCTGTGGACTCTTGCCATTTTACCTCTGGGGTAGCAATAAGAACAAAGCAAAATAAGAATCAAAAAGGTTCTCACCTATACCATTTCCTTGATAACTTTGGCCTCCCTCTTACCGTCTTGTGCCACACAACAGGGAAGTTGGTGCTGCTGGCAAAATTCTGGGTGATAGCAATGGTGGTGTCAAGATTGAGAACAACATGCCACCAGCCTCCTGAAATCCAACAAATAAACAGTTCAACAGGGTTTGGTCTTACACACAAATACCCTGTGACACCTACTCCAGAAATCGGGCCTTCCTATCCATAAGGGACAGCTCAGACACGACACAGTGTAGTAAACTGCTCCTGACCCAGGGATAAGTGTAAATAAAATTTTACTGGAACACAGCTACACTTGACCTGTTTTGAACATTTATATTTTCCAAAGAGCAGAGTCGAGTGATTGTGAGGGACTCTGTGGCTCACAGGGTCTAAAATATTCACTCTCTGACCATTTATGAAAAGTTTATTGACCCCTGGTAATCCAAAGCTGTAGCCTAAAGGTGGAAAGTTCTTCAACTTCTAGGAAAAGAACACCCACCTTAAATACTTTTACTCTTAGAAGCTTCACCTATCAAAGTGTGGTTGTCTGATGTGGGATTTCCTAACTCAACCCAGCCTATTTACTAGCCCTGGGTTAGATCTCTGGCACCAAAACAAAACAAAAATAACAAACAACTTAGACATGGGCACAAACTGCTACCCAACTCAGAGATACTAGGTAACCTCTAGTTACACAGCATATGGGTAAGAGTTCCTTTTGTACTTTAGATTCAGTCACCACACAGGTCAGTTCATGAATCTGGAAGGTGCAAAAGAACTTTCTGGATTCATTGTGTGTGTGTGTGTGTGTGTGTGTGTGTGTGTATGTGTATGTATATAAGTAAGTAGGCAATGTGAAATATAGTAAGGTAAGCGAGTAGGCAATGTGAAATATAGTAAATTATTTTAGCAGGAAAAAAAATGAGTAGACAAATTACTGCAATCAAAAAATGTACTTGGGGGCTGGGATTATAGCTCAGTGTAGAGTGTTTGCCTAGCACATGCAAGGACCTGGGTTCGATCCTCAGCACCATATAAAAATAAATAAAGGTATTGTGTTCAACTACAACTAAAAAATAAGTATTCTAAAAAAATATGTACTTTGGGCCTCATGTGGTGGTGCACACGTGTAATCCCAGTGATTCAAGAAGCTGAGGCAGGAGATTGCAAATTCTAGGGCAACCTGGGCAACTTAGTGAGAGAGACCCTGTCTCAAAATTTAAAAAAATAAATAAACAAACAAACAAAAAATGCTGGGGATGGAGCTCAGTGGTAGAGCTTCCTTTGGGTTTGAGACCCAGTACTGCAAACGCCTGTCACAACACCCCCAAAATCAGAGAATGTGTTTTCTTCCAGCTCATCTATACCTGGTACAAAGACAGTCTCTCCTGGTTTTTGTAAGATTTCCAGAGGTTTGAATTCAGGTGGCCAGGTTGAAAGCTGTGTTCGGGGATAAATAACATTAAACCAGGTAATTGCTTCGTCTTGCTGGTTCCCTCCTTCTTCTCGGGTCACCTTGATGAGTTCTCGGGGAGTACTTGTTGGGAACAGGCACCAGCGCTTGTGGCCCTGAACCAAGGCATTCCAGGCACTGGTTCCCAGAGGGTCAATGTGAATCCCAGTTCCAGAACGCGGTGGCCCCATCACAAACCACCTATAGGATAGAAACACCCAAGACAGGAAAGATGACTTAATTATGCATACAGGACACAGAAGAAAGTTTTTACTATATATTATGTTATGCACATGGTTCTTTCTTCATTTCTGAGACTGCACGCATTCTGATACATAGAAATATTAAGTGAACTGTGTGAGGACTGATATCTCACAGAAAAAAGAAAAAAATTACTGATATAGTTTATTGCTAAACTATAATTATTAAAACTTCCCTAAGACATCAGTGGTTCAGCTTTACTTGCACATTTAAGTCTCCTGGGGAGTTTTAGGATTGACTAGCCAATAGACCCTAGGCTAGTTAAATCCCCATCTCCTCCTAGTGGGTCCCTAAAGGACTTAATGTTCAGCCAAGGGAGAGCACTCACTCACTTTTTCAGAAGGTCAGCACACTGAACTCTGCTACCCAAGGCTGGTGTGGATGAGATTGGAACCACTGAGCTACGGAATACTTTACCTGTAGGGCGGCCTGCGCTTCTCTCCTGCATACTGGAAAAGGTCATCAGTGAAAAACTTGGGCACCTTATAGTCTTCCAAAAGTTTTCTTCTTTTGGGGTGTTCACCATAGCTGCTGTCAAAGATGTAGAGGGGGCTGTCATCCCGGGTGCTCTCCATGTACTCGATGTAGTACTTCATCTTCATCTTGACCGAGTAGCCATCGTTATCCTCGCCACACTTGAACTTCTGGTTGCGGTACTTCCTTTTCAGGCGCTCCAGAGTCCATTTCTCCTGCGCAGACCAGCCCTCTTGGGCATTCAGCAGGACCACGGGCTTGTAAGGTCTTTCGTACCGCTCGACAAATTCTTCCACCGACAGCTGTAAAGCGTCCGCCCTCTCCACGTTATCCTGAGGGAACCAGAAAAGGCCTGTCCAGTTAGAAACTGAGCCCGAGGCAGATCAGGGTGTCCCCCAGGACCAACCAGCAATGACAGACATGGGCGACCTCCGACACAGGCTCCGGAGGGGGCCACGTGCTGGGCGCACCTCGCACCCAGAGCCGCCGCCGCCGCCGCCGCCCGAGGCCCGCCCCGCTCCCGCAGGCCCACGCCCGGCCCGCGACCCCGTCCCGCTCACCGCCACGGCCGCGGGGCTCAGCGAGAAGCTCTCGTAGTAGTTGTGCCGCGTCCAGTCCAGCGAGTCCTTGAGCTCCGGCCGCGCACTGCGCTTGGCCTCGCGGATGCGCTTCTTGCTCTTGTGGTTCATCCTGCGAGGTCACCAGCTGGTTCCGCGAAGACCTCGGCGCAGCTCGCTTCCTGTCGCTAATGCGCCCCTCCCAGGCCCGGGCGGCGGCACCGAGACGCCCTTCGCTCCGGCCCGGCGCCTTTAAAGTCGCCTTCCAGAAAATTCACTCCTCAGCCACCTCCCGAGCCGCGGGTTGGGCGTGCGGCGGCCGTCCTCCCCGCCCCGCCGCCCGTCGCGGTTCGCCATTGGCCTCGGCGCCTCCCGGGTACGCCCTCACACGCGCCGGGCGGACGCCATGTTGGTAAGGTCGCGTCGGCCACCGCCCCGCCCCGCTTCCGGCGAGCTTCCACTTCCGGCCGTGCGTGGCCTCCCCACCACCGGCTTCCGGCCGGGACCCCGCCCATGCGCCTCTCCTGAATCTCGCCAAGCTGGCTTCCGGCTTTCTCTGTGCTTCTGACTCCTGCCACTTCCCCTCTACCCCCACGCGAGCTCGGCCTTCCCCCTCTTGCGGCCGGGAGGGACGGCGGAAGGCCGCGTAGTACCTGGTGCCCGGGAAGCGGTCCCTGACGGCCTGGCGGCCCCGCGCCCTCCGCCGACCCCCGCGTGCCCGCGGCCTGCCGATTCTCCTTTGGGCGCGCGCGGTCTTCCAGGACATGTGGCCCGTGCCCAGCGCTTCCGCTTCTCGGAGGAGCGGGGCCCGGGAGCCCACGGGCCCGAGCTGGAGGTCCTTGTCCCGCAGGTGTGTGCAGCCGAGGCGCCGCGGCCTTGGGTTGGCTCCCGAGCAGGAGCAGCCCGTCTGTCTGCAGTGAGGACTTCGGGGACCGTGATAACAAGGGGGCTTCTCCGAACAGAGCGTTTTCTGCCAGCAGAGTGGCTCTCGACTCCTAACTTTAATCTTCATCTTGTCGAAAGACTTCCCTTTTCTTTTTTCTTTTTCTTAGTGGTGATACTGGGTTTGAACCCAGGGGCGCTCTACCACCGAGCTACATCCCCAGCCCTTTTTATTTTAAGGCAATCTTTAAATTTCTGAGACTGGCCTCAAACTTGAGATCCTCCAGCATTAGCCTCCAGGGTTGCTGGGATTCTAAGCGTGGCCAAGCGTGGCCAAGCATTTAGTGCTGACACTCTTAGGCCATGGCCTCAAACATGCTAGACAAGCGCTCTGCCTCTGAGCTGCACCCCTAGTCGTAGATTTTTCACTTTTGTTTAAGTCTGGGAACAGGTATTCCTGCCCTAATTGTCCAAATAAATGGGTGTATTCTTGCTTCTTTCTTTGAGCTCATGGCTGCCACACACTCTGAATAATTTTTGAGCATTTTCACGTTGTAGTTTCATTTGATGTTAATGGCAGCCTGTGAGGTAGGTATTAGAATCCGCACATTAGGGGAAGGAACAGCTTGAGAAGTTAAGACTAGAGTTGAACGAACCAGTTTCTGGTAATATCCAATCGGATTCACATTTTAATTTTTTTTTTATTTTTAAATATTCATTTATTTTTTTTTTTAGTTATTGGCGGACACAACATCTTTGTTGGCATGTGGTGCTGAGGATCGAACCCGGGTCGCACGCATGCCAGGCGAGCGCGCTACCGCTTGAGCCACATCCCCAGCCCCCGAATTCACATTTTAAAAACTTCCTAAATTTAGAACCCGAACTTGCACAACTATCTTCTGCTCAGATGTCTTTCGCTGAATCTTTATTTTCCTTCTGGGTAAAATTTACAGGTCAGGCCCCTATTCATGTGGTACCCCTATATTTAGTGCCTAAGATATTTTAGGCAGTAATGTTTTTTATTGGATCGAGTGATGAAGATTTTGTCTGTGGACTGTTTAGGTCTTTAGCTTTTTTCTACCACCCCACCAGGGGGCACCCTTTGCTCTTTAGACAGAAGAGAAGTTTTGCTGCAACATTGAGTACTTTGTGCCTTTCATCTCACCCAATTGAGATGGTATTTTGAAGTTGAGAAAACTGAAGCACTGACCAGTTGAATTAACCTGTGTCACACACTTGTTAAATTACGAATCTGTAATGTTTTTGAACTGAGGAAGGCTCATTCCCTTTCAACCCCAGATTCAGCTCCATTTTTAACCTTTTCTAGGATGTCTCCCTAGGGCCATACTACTTGCCATCAGCAGATTGCTAAGTTGTGCTGAAAATCCCAGTATCTTGCTGCATTTAGAATAAATTCTCAACTTATGAGGCCCATGAATCAGGTCTGTCTTATCTCTGACTTGCACTGCACAATGCCTCCAGGTCCCATGCCTGTCCTTCCAGGGCTGTGCAGTCCGGCCAGAAGCCTTGCCTACTTCAGGACCTTTTCCTGAGTCATCTTGCCTCCTTATCATAGTAGCCATTTTGTGGTCTCACCTGTGTCCACATTGCTCCCACATGACTGTTTTGCCGTTTGTAGCGTTTAGCACTAACTTGTAATATCTGATTTGCTTATTTGGCCATCTCCTTCTAATAAATAGGGTGTACACACTGCACAAGAGCTATATGCCTGGGGTAGAGAGGGAAGATGAGAGGGAAGGGGAGGGGGATTAGTAGGGGATAGGAAAGGTAGCAGAATACAACAGTCATTAATATGGTATTATGTAAAAATGTAGATGTGTAACCGATGTGATTCTGCAACTTGTATTTGGGGTAAATAATGGGAGTTCATAACCCACTTGAATCAAATGTATGGAAGATGATATGTCATGAGCTTTGTAATGTTTTGAACAATTAAAAAAAAAAAAAGCTATATGCCCAGAAGGGCACTGTTGAAATGCTGTGGAAGGAACGAATGCTTCAAGTGTTTATTGACATTCCAAAATATTTTGTTTTCCCCCTTCAGATGTTTCTATTGAATTGACTATTACACATCTAAAGTTTCTGAAATAGTAGACATTTTTTTTTTAGGCTCCTGCTTGAAACCAACAGTTTCAACAAACTGCTGGCCTTGATTCAGGGCCAATCAAAATATTCTTTTCAGGTCCTGCATCTCCAATACGGAATGTATGTTTGGCCCTGTGCTGTAGTTCTGGCCCAGTACCTATGGTTTCATAGAAGATCTCTGCCAGGGAAGGCTGTCTTAGAGGTACAATGTCTCCCAAAATGCTGGGTTCAGATTGAAGTTTACATACTTTATATATATTAGCCCTTGTTAAACATAAAATCAGGTGGTATTTATAATTTCTTGGTATTATTCTTTAAAGTGCTTTGCCAGTTAGAAGACCCAGCTAGAAAATCCCTTTTATCCCTGTTTTTAGCCTCAGGAAAGCAATCACCATCATACTAATGATTATAGATTGTGCTAATAAAGGACTATGGCAGTAGTATCCCCAACCTACTTCCCTGTACATTCCAATGAAAATGCCTTGTTTTCCTCTTTGACCCAGTAGTAATCACGAGATAATTAACCTTTGCCATAACAAATCCAAAACATGTCCATCTTTTGTGTAGTGCTGGGGAATTAGAACCCAGGGTCTTGTGCATGCAAGGCAAGCACTCTACAACCAGAGTTATATCCCTAGCCCAAGCATGTCCATCTTCAAATGCAAGGATAAGATCCCAAGTGCTATTTCCAATTTTATATTCCATGTCTTTTTTTTTAAGATTGGAGCTGGAGTGAGCCTTCCAGGAATTTTGGCTGCAAAGTGTGGTGCTAAAGTAATACTGTCAGACAGCTTAGAGCTGCCCTACTGTCTAGAAATTTGTCGGCAAAGCTGCCAAATGAATGACCTGCCATGTATGCAGGTTGTAGGACTGACATGGGGTCACATCTCTCAGGATCTTCTGGCCCTACCACCACAAGATATTATTCTTGCATCTGACGTATTCTTTGAGCCAGAAGGTAAGAGTTTTTATTAATAAATTTGGTCAGAAAGGCATTGTAGAAGAATCCGCTTAAAATGCTTTCTTTCAGACTTTGAAGACATCTTAACTACAGTATACTTCCTGATGCAGAAGAACCCCAAGGTTCAATTGTGGTCTACATACCAAGTTAGAAGGTGAGGGAATAATCCCAATTTAAGGATGAAACTAAATTATCTCAAACAAAACAGAAAAGGCATAAATTTTTAAAAAAATTTATTTTTTCCTAGTGCTGACTGGTCACTTGAAGCTTTGCTCTACAAGTGGGATATGAAATGTGTCCACATTCCTCTGGAGGCTTTTGATGCAGACAAAGATGATATAGCAGAATCTGCACTTCCAGGAAGACATACTGTTGAAATGTTGGTCATCTCCTTTGTAAAGGACAGTCTCTGAATTACACCTACAAGCTATTCTGGGACCATGTCAATTTGATTAGCAACCTGGCAACTAGGATCAGGCTACTTCAACTTCTTTAAGAAAAAAAGTAGGCTTGAAGATGGTCAAATCTGCTGGCCTTTAAGATTGTGATGCGTCACCTAGACAACTTATGGGCAACATAATTATGAAAATAAAACAATTATGAAGATTAAAAACTTGAATTGTTCATATTCAATATGGCATTAAGTTAGAAGGGGAAGTGCTGCCTTAAAAGCATCGATTTTAGGTGTTCAACGGGCATTTCCAACATCTTTATGTAGGGAAGGCAGGTGCTAAACATTTCACCTTCATACTATACAGTCAATGACATAATTGCATAGGCCTTTCACATAAATGGGTGAAAAAAAACCAAGACATATTCTGAGAAAAGCTAACACCAAGAAAACATTTTAATTAAACTACAGAAACAATGGTTATAGTACAGAATATTCATAAGCAAAACGATACACCATGTTTTTAAGTACTTACAAAGTTACAAACCATTTGCTTCCTTAACATTTTCCATATTTTAAGTTCATACATGAGGATGATCAGATTTACCATGGGGCAGGGGGCAGGGGAATAAAGGTGTATTTATCATCAGCTAGATGTGCTCACTGTATGCTCCGTTATTTATATGCAAGGCCCGGGTGACTGGAAGTGCAGTTGTCAGGCATTTTAATAAACTGGACAGCCATTTGTTTCTGCACGACAAGGCATCTTTACACAGGAGCAATCAGGAGAAAACAGGAAACAGCCAAGCACTCTGCACTGCAACACGCCACCTTAACAGCTAACCAGCATTACTCAACTGCTACACAACTGCGCCTAGTGCACAAAAATACATAAGAGAAGAGATTAGAATTGTGTTTGGTAAACAATCCTTTAAAAAAAAAAAAAATCAAGTCTTTTCACCTGAAGTCTTTATACAAATTTGGATTCAGATTACCATTTAGGTCTGAAGGTAAATAACATATAAACAAATTTACACCAACTTTTGTAGGTTTTTAATTTTAAGGAATGAAGGCAATGTTGAGTCAATCTCTTGACAGCTTTAGGCTGTGTGTAATGGCTGCACACGTTTCCTTAAAAGTCAGGAGGCCACAAATTAGGTTACCAATCTGTTTAATTTCAAACAAAAAAAGTCAGCACTATATAAACAAAATGAAATTTTACCTCAAATATCCAATCCAATAATGAAATCTGAAGTCGTTCACCTCACTAAATTACAAGAAATTTGAATAACAGCAACAAAATGGCACATAAAATGAAGTTTGCCACCTGAGGCAAAGATTAAAACAAGTAAAAAGTTAGACAAATGTTACAAAATAACCTTTTCAACAGCCAGTTGCTTGTTCCAAGGACTCTTCGATGCACCGATGGACTGAGTATGTAGTCCTTTTTCCCCCAAGTCCTCTGTTATGCTGCTTTCGGATACATCTAGGTTTGAAAAGAAATAGGTTCAGTTTACCTTCCAATACTTACAAAGATATAGTGCACATGGTTTCAGTTTCAGGCATGTACTTACTAAAAGGCTCTGGTGAAACAAGGAGGTTACAGTAAGGTTCCACCCAGCCACTATCCGTTTTTTTTTTTTTGTCTTTAAGGCCCAATTAAGAGATTTTTGAAGGCTACCAACAGCATTTAAAGTTTGAATTTTTGGCCAAATAACCAAGGTGGAAAAAGATAAGGGGGGGAAAAAGGGAAAATAAAAAAAAGGGCTGTATCCAAACAAAAACTGGAGATCGGGAAATTATTGTATTCTTTAACTTATTTTCAAATAAAACATTTGGCAATTGAGATTAACGTCTTTATTGAGCTACTCAGGGCCCTTTCCTTTTAAAAAATAGGACCAAACAATTTGAGAGTTAAAGACACACTATCCTTTCCCCACCCAGTGCAATACCTGCATAAACTTTCTTTTGGGGTTCCAAAAAGTTCATTGCTTCTTAATTGCAATTCGTTTGCCACATCTATTAGAATACGAAGTCCCATCAGTACAACAATAGTTGAACTGATCGTTTGTCTCTAAGAGGATAGTGCATCTTTAACGTTTAAAGACAAACCTGCTCCAATACACGCCCACAGAAACTGGTCCCTGGAGGATCAGCCAAATCAGTTAAAATCTGCAATACTGGCCAATATTCTTTTATCAAACAGGAGACCGCAGCTTTAAAGGGGGAAAATGCAGACGTTGGATAAAAACAGCAAGAAATAGTCATTTTCATCAATAGGTCTCAAACAGCTTACGAACAGCCACTCAGCTAAGCGCCACACTCATGCTCCTGCACCCCTCGACTCGCCCAGCGCAGCCCTCCGCAGCCGGGCGGGCGGCGGCGCCGACATTACCATGTGCTCACGAGGACACGGCGCCCTCCTCCTCCGGAGACTTGGGCGGGCTCTTGGACCGCGAGCGGGACTTGGACTCCCTCTTGGACACTGGCGGCGGGCTTCGGGAGCGGGACCGGGAGCGCGAGCGGGACCGGGAGCGGGAGACCGACGACGACTTGGACTTGGACCTGCGCGCCGAGCGGGACTTGGAGGTGGAGCGGCTGCGGGAGCGCGTGCGGGAGCGCGACTTGGAGCGGCTGTAGCGCGAGCGGCTGCGGGAGCGGGACCTGCTGCG